TAGAGTTATGATTAAAATTTAATTTTTTCTATTGATTAAATATTATTTTTATTTTTATTTTTCTCTTTCTTAGGCTGTGTTTAACAGGCCTTATTTTCCATGGAAAATGGAAAATGATTTCCTTCTCCACCAAAAATGACTTGTTTGATAGCTTTTTTTTCTAGGCAAAATTTTTTCCACCCTACATCCTCACGCACCTGATTTCTTGGTTTTGGAGGAAATGATTTTCCTACCTTTTTTGTGGGAATTTATTTTCCAGTTCACTTTTTTTTTTTGTTTTTTTGGTAATGGAAACATATGTCATAACCAATGGTAAAAAAAAATTTACTTTAATGGACAATTTCCATGTAAAATAAAGTCAAACGAACACTAAACTTTTATTAAAAAAATGATTTTTTAGGAAACAATTTTTTTTCAATTTTTTTTTTTACTTTTTGGCGATGGAAGCAAATTTTATAACCAATTGTAGAAAAAAATTTCATTTAAATAGACAATTTTCATGTAAAATAAAGCCAAACAAATAAAAAATTTAAAAAATTTTCAGGTGAAAAATTATACCAATCAAACACACTTAATTAACAATTCCCTACAAAATATTTTCTAGACAATTATTTTCCCTGAAAATCATTTTCTTTCCACCTATTTTCCACCCTTACAATTAAACGCACCCTTATTGTTTATCTCTATTTTTTATGGACAAAAATAAACTGGATCTGTATAACTTTTTTTTTCTTTTTTCATTCCTTTTTTTTTGGTGAAAAATATATATATTTTTCACCAAAAAAAAAGGAATGAAAAAAGAAANAAAAATATATATTTTTAATTAAATTATAAAATTTTATCTAGGCTAATTTATAAATAAATATATTGATTTTTTATTTTTTATTTTAAGGTATATTATATTAATAATACTATATATTAATTTTTTTTAACATATATATGTATGCATAATTTTGTTTATTATTTACTTGATTAAGACCTTAAATTTTTATTCCTTTTAAAATGTTTTTTTTATTATATGGGGAGGGAGAGGAGAATTAGAAAGAGAATTGTGAAAACCACCACCTCGTCTGTGAGAATTTCACACTACTACACTAAATTCACGTACATTCTATTTCAAATGAAAGTCTTTTGATTTCTACAGAAGTTTATAAAAAATTTAAAATGAAAGTTTATAGAAACCTATGAAAAACTTTCATTATTTCAATACAAACCTATAAAAAAAAATCCACAAAACCCACATAAATCCTCACATAAAAAAAGTCGATCAAAACCTACAAAAATTTCAATTGAACAGACCTAAGTTTTCAATTTTGAATTCATTTTCAATTTTATGTTACGAGAGTCCATTTTAAGATTGCTAAAAATACACAAATCATTCTCAAAAATTATTTTTCAAAATAGAAAACTTGAAAACATGTTGGATTGCAATTTTGAGAAATTATTTTATGACATTTTATTGCATAAAATTCGATTATTTAGTAAAATAGAATAATTTTATGTTAATATATCATCAAATAATGTACATACATAAGTAAAATAATAACAAATAATAAATATCGCCGTCCCTAATCATTTCCATTTGAATACAGTTCAGTGTGTCAAACGTTCTCTTAAAAGCGTAGTAAGATACTAGAGAAAAACTTAGCATAGTGCTCGATGACTACCAAAAAAAAAATCAACATTCTTTCACCTCAAAGCAATTACAAAACATCGACCACAGGACAAATAACATCCAATAAAAGTCATGGCCATAAGATGCAGGAAATTAGTTTCGGGGAACAATCCAGTTTACTTTCTACAATTTTTTACATGCTCACAAGCTGGCGTCTAATAAAGTGATCACTCCCCTTCTCGAGGCCTATAACCTTTTCATCTGTATAGAATACTCTTTTCCCATAAGAATATGAAAAAGGCGGCTTCTGAGGTTCGTTGGCAACAACAGGAGATGTGGGCTGAAACAAATTCACTCATTCCGAATGGAAGAGTATTTCTCCCACATCGATTGGGACTTGGAAATTTCAACCATCAAGTTCTTAAATTTGTGGCTGCAGTCTCCTCCACTGCAAAATTTAAAGGAAGAAAAAAGAAATGTATCAAGTGCTGCACTTACAAATCTTAATATAATTCACCAAATGATCCCAGGAAAAAAAAATTATATATATTATAGAATAATGCTACTTTGCCAGAAAAATCTGGCCAGATGCAGTGACGAAGATGTCGTGGGGGGAGGTGATAGGGTGGGAAAGATGACTATGTTTAAAACAATCTAATGATGAAATGTCATGTGGCATTATATCAACCATTATGTCAAACTTTCTGTTCATGTAGCATAATTGTTATATTATTTACATAATGCATTTTTAGTTAACCAAAAATGAGACAAAAAGTTGATGTATTCTGAGCTGAGAATGAAATACTCTTCAAAACAGGTTGTTCTTTCCCTCTCCCTCCATTCAAAATAATGGGCCATCTGGAGAGGGTGGAAAATTAAGAAGGCTATTCAAAAAGAAAAGATAGATGAGAAACGTAACAAAAAAAAAAAAATTTAAGCAAAAGGTACTAAAGATCTTGGTCTATTATGTTCTCATTGAAGTTACTGCTACAGGTCATCGTGCAGAAAGGAAATAAGTCATACAAAATCTTAGCATACCTTATGTAGGGATGGCAAAAAAGCTCGTCGGCTCGAAAATAGCTCTAGCCGGGGCCCAGCTCGGGCTCGGTTACACCGAGCCAAGGCTCGGGCCGAGCCTCATTTTTTGGCCGGGCTTTACTCGGCTCTGCTCGGGCCCAAAAAAGCTTGAGTCGAGCCCGAGTTCTTTTATTTAATTTATAGTACGTATATAAATTTTAAGTTTTTTAAGTAAAAATGTAGATTTGACATTTAAAAAAACAAACCGAACGACTCGGCTCGGCTTGGGCAGAAAGCTCGGGCCGAGCCTCATTTTTTTTTTTACCGAGCTTTGTTCGGCTCGGCTCGGCTCGGCTTGGGCCAAAAAAAGCTCAAGCAGAGCCCGACCTTTTTTTTTTCGGTTCGGCTCGTTGACATAGCTAACCTTATGCGATTCAACGATGCAATTGTCCTGAGGGCACTCCTGATCATATCTTCATTACGATCTACTTCTTGCTTGACCGCGTCTTGTTTAGTCCTAAAGTTGATAGTTTTCTGGAGAGGATCCACCAAAGAATCCAACACTGGATGTGCAATAATTAGGTTAGAACGGATTCAAATTCAATTAAATTAAAGTGTTTTCAAATACAAGGTTTAACTGCATTCTGAAACTAAAGGAAAAATTACCTGCTAATACAGCCGAAGGACACTTATCAGCCAGCTTTGAAAGGATAAGATGGCAAGGCATTTTCACATCATAATGATCTGAGGAGCGAAAAAAGTATAATCAACACGGAATATTACAAAACTAGATTTGATGGAAGTCCACAAAGTTCAACATTTCTATTTATTAATATTATCATAGGAAAGAAAATGTAACAACAGCACCTATCAAGTTCAATAAAGGGGGGAAAATTTTCGAGACGTTCCTAGGGAACACTCACCATCTAAACCAGATAAAAGGTATGGAACAATAAAAGATGACGGATTCACTTGATCAAGACAACTATCCAACAAAGTATCCACACATTCAAAAGCAGCCTTCCTTAATTCAAGCCCATCATCTACTGTGTGTTTGAAAGGACCTAGATCAACTGTCCTTATCAATTCTTTCTGCAGAAAGAGGGAAAAAAAGTATAATGACAAATGAAAACCCTATTGTTCATATTAAGAAGGCAAAAATGCTATTCTATGAGAGAGATTATGATCTACTATCTTAGTTGCTGCCAGAAGTCTATCAAGATAATGTGCAGTGCACCTGGACATTTTTCCAACAGCATGGTAAGTTTCAAAAAATTTGTCAAAATATAGAATGAAGCACAAAGTAACTCTTATAATTTTTTTTATTTTTACATTCAATAACTTTGGGTGAACCAAATTTTATCACGAGATTTATGAAAAGCAGCTTTAGCAGATGAATCACCATCAACAACAGGCTCTATATATTTCTTAAATCAAAATAATCACACACAAGGTAAATTGCTCAAAAATAATCCTCATTGGAACTTATAAGTAAACATGATAGTATATGTCTAGAGCACAATAGGTTACATAGAGACCTGTAAATACACCAAGTCAGACCAGTACCAGTTGTGTCAATGAGATTGAATAAGATTACAGAGATCGTCGAAGATTGAATAAGATTCCGGACATCGTCAAAGATTACGATTATATTATTATAATTGTATTATATATAGATAGATTGTTTTCACCATTAATTAATATTGTAATTGTTTGCTTCCATATTTAGTTGTTATTTTAGTCCTATTTAATGAGAGAACATCTTACAAAGAGGGGCATCGAGTCTTTTATTGAGTATATCTGACATGGCATCAGAGCATCTTCCTTAGTATTTTCTCTTGTTTTCTTGGTTAGGTTTTCTCAATGTAGGAGNAACGAAATTCAATGGTTAATTTGTTTAGAATTAGAACGACTTTGATACCATATCAAATATACTCAATAAAAGACTTGATACCCCTCTTTGTGAGAGGTTCTCTCATTCAATAGGACTAAAATAACAACTAAATATGGAAGCAAGCATTTACAATATTAATTAATGATAAAAACAATCTATTTATATCTAATAAAATTATAATAATACAATCGTAATCTTCGACGATATTCAGAATCTTATTCAATCTTCGACGATCTCCGTAATCTTATTCAATCTCATTGACAAGTTGGACAAAAATACAGAAAATGTATCTCTGACGGTTTTCCTTCATCCTGTTTTCCTTCTGAAAAACAGGTATGGATTTTCCTCTTCGAAATTGAGATCTATTTTAAGAAGTCTGTTACATGACAAACTACGCCACAGCACAAAGTAAAGAAACAAGGCAAGAATTCAAATATTGTCCATATATGGGTATCCTATAATTTTTATATTCAATGAATCCAGCATATGCACATCAGCACCCTGACCACATTCAAATCCACAAAATGAAGTTCAATTACTGATGGACACAACAGTGAAGGAAACTGAACGATTAAATCTCCTTAGAAAGAAAGAAATGCAATGTTACTTTCTCAAAGAGAAAATCTTGGTTGTGGCACCATTTTCTTAAGAGTAGCAGATAGCAATTTCACTTGAATTCATTCCACCAAAAAAAAAGTTTTAAGTAGGCTTTTATTTGAGAATACATTTTATCTTCGCCATTAAAAGAGATTTTTACAGAGACGAACTATGTTATACAGATTCAGTTGACACCTAATAAATTTAGAATATTCCTATGCTCACAGTTATTATGCAAATAACGCACAGCGTTAGCTTCTAATTTCAGAGGCAACACAATATTGCATAATAATTCCATTGTCCTGCAATTTCTTACTTTTGTACCCAAATAATCTCATTCTAAGGGAAAGATCAGCAGTTTTCGCTGATAGAAAATTGGTTAAATTGCTTATAGCAGTGTAAACGCAAGGACTGGTAAACCATATAATAGTTACAGTACAGTGTGCATTAAACTTTTGAGTCAGTAATGATAGACAAGAGAAAAATGTTATTTATAATACATTACCTTAATTACTGTCTGGTCGTATAGAAGTGGCAAAAGCTCTGGAAGCAGGGCCTTTATTAGGGTTGGCTTATTATGGGCTGCGGTACTCAAGGCCAATACAGCTGCACGCCTTACATGCTGCTCAGCAACCAATATAACATTGACATAAATCAAATTTGGTCCAGGAAAAATACAAGATAATCCAAGAGAGATACACAGAACATACGGGTAAATGGAAAAATGATGGAAGATATAGTGTATCTATATAGCATATATAGCTATAGAAATATTTTTATCTGTTGGAGATTACCTGATTATGATCCTTGATAAGCATCAAGAAAGATGAGATTTCAGGGTACAAAATCTCATCTATCTTCTCCTGCCGCTCAACTATAGAATATTTAACCGCAATTACAACTGTTGCTCGGGTGAATGCAGCTGCACTGGTTGTTCTCTCCTACAATTATATGCAAGTAAATAATTAAGTCTTGTAGATTTTTGATGAGGCATTGTACACATGGATAGAAGAACATATATTTCTGAGATGTTACCTTTAGTGCTGGAACGAGTTTTCCTGGTTCAATTAGGGCAATTTTTCCTAGACATTCGGCAACTACATTGCGAACTCCCTCTTCCTCGCTTTCACAGTGGTTAAAGAGCAAATTAGTGATCTTCTCAACACTGGAATCATCAAATTCAGCTTTATCCACGGATTGTCTCACTATGACCTGTAAGTGGGAGAAATCTCAGCAAGAATGTGAAATATCGACAAATTCTGGTTAAAAAAGGAATTTACTCTTGAAAGAATTATTGTTCAGGGGGCACACCTCCTTCAGGGAATGAAGCAATAAATATTGCTTCTTCTGCTGATTATCAATTTTGTCCAATATAAAGGGTAAATATTTTGGTAGATTTCCAACAGCAATATTTCCTAAAGCATAAGAAGCGGCAGATTTGATCTCCTCAAAAGGTGATTGGAAAGATTCGATAACGATATTCTCTATATGGGTATGCGAACTTAAATCTTTTCTCCTCCCAATCTCCCCCAAACACAGCAAGGCAAGATGTTGCTTGGCCTATAAGAAAACAATGTTGAATAAGAAGAGAATAGTAGCAGTAATACAGATGGGAGCATAAAATCCAACACAACACAGTTAAATTCCCTTGATTAAAAATAAATTTATAAATGAATTCTCTCAAATTACAAATAAAGAACAGAAAGGCAGAAAGTAGCTCATATTTTCCCTTAAATAATTCAAAACAAGAAGATTGCTACTTAATTTAAATAACAGACAGCCGAAAATATTCAAAGAGGAGTCCAAAACAACCAAAGCTCGTGATGTGTGTAATGTAGTATATAAAACATATTCCAACACCAAATTAAATTGGAAGCATCTTCTGATATTTTCCACCAAAATCAAGAGCCCCGGATAGCTGGCCAGAATCAAGAAGCCAATTATCTATTCTGATACTAGAATAAGTAGACAGGCTATAAGTATCTGACAAACCATACACCTAACCTTCTTTTATACTGTTTCAATAAGAAGATAGAAACTCATAGGATAATGTCCATTTCAGGGTAAACTCAAGATCTTCCAATTACCGATAACACCGGAAATAATCCATCATGTATGGTTAAATAAGCACAGTTATTTCTGCTAGATTTTGAGAATCAAGGTAGCTACTAAAAAGGGTAAACTTAGTTGAAAAGGCTGAATCCTGAGTCCTTGACCATACTAATTATATCTTCCAATCGAATGCAGTGCACTAATTAAGCAGAGACTTGTAGCCAACTACTAGTTTTGATTAAAGCAAATAATATACCCAGAGTATAAAAAGGCGGTAGTGAGGCCCGCCTTGAAGCCCGCCTTACTGTGAGGCGCATGTAGTATGCCTCGAGGCGATATTTTTGAGGCTAAAAATCTGAGGCGCACGCCTCTAAATCTGAGGCGCACGCCTCAAGGCCTCATTTAAAATTTGATTTTTCAATTGTATGAAAAGAAATCAGAAAGGGCCCTTCTTAAAAAAGGAAAAAGCCCATTTAAAAAGGCATTTTAGGCGCCAAACAAAACAATAAAATACCTAAAAAACTAAACGGCAGCCAAAAATTAGATGATAAAAAAGGGAACAGATTCAACAGAAATTCTAAAGTCAGAATTCAAGAAGAGTATCGTTTTCTTCATCAGTTCAACATGTATGTTTTTCCACTTTTCTTTTTCTTTTTCTTAGGGTTAAGTAAATCTTGCATGCAATTAGTTGCTTCATATACACATCTGGAAATTATAAATTTTATAAATGTTTTGATTTATATAATTAATACACGATTTCATCCAATCGCTTGTATAAACTCTAAAACTAGATGAAGATGGTTTTGTAGAAATTGAGAGTAGCGAAGAGGAAGATGATGGAGAAATTAGATATGATGATTCCATTAACGATNTTTTTTTTATTTTTTTTTTATTTTATAATTGTTTTACTTTTTTTTTTTTTTTTTTTTTGTGAGGCTTACGCCTCAATCAGCCTCGAGGCTTACGCCTCGCCTCATAAAGAAAAACCACCTCAGTACTTAGTTTCGCCTTTTTAAACCTGGAATATACCATCTAAGCATTCATTTAAAAAATCATCTAAAACATCTCCATTTATGTAATCCAAGCAAGTGCACATGGACGTACCGAATTGGTAGTGCTGTCTGCTTTCAGGATATCTGTGAGCATATTTACAGTGGTTGAACATTTTTTATCACCTGCAGCAAGGCAGAGAACTGCCACACATTGAGCAATGGAAAATAAAGCCTGTTTTGCAATACCGCCAGACTGAGCAGATGATTTTGCAGTTGAAAGAAGGGAGTCTAGCAGCACATCAAAGCTAGTATTTGCTGAGTAAACCAAGGCACGGAAGAAGTTCTGTAGTGCCTGTAGTGTCAATAAATGAGGGTTATAACTTACAATAAGCAGACATTTTACAGTTTACACCACGGCTAAGTTAACGCAAAACAAAAATAATACCAAAAGTGCTTGCCCCTGTAGCAATGAGCTTCTCACTAGAGTCAATGCCTGTGGAAGAACTTTGTTTCTGACAGTCAAACCAACATTTGGACCTGATCTACTATCGGCCATCAAGGTACAGCACAGTTCCAATGCCAGAGCAGTCATGTGCAAGTCTGAGTCACTGAAAAGCACAAAGAAGAATTTATACTCATTTAATTACTAGTCACTCTTAAAAATGAATTATCAAAAAATTTGTGAACATGGACTGCAACTGAAAAGAATTATTGAACAGACATCTGTAGTAAACAAACACAAGTTTAACCTTATTAGAGTTGAAAGTTCCACAACGATCACTTCATAAGCAGAAGAACCAATTCTATCACCATAAGCAACTATCAAAGTATTTAGAGTTCCCAGCGTCGCCTGTCTTAATGCTCGATTAGCCTATTTTCCAAAAAGATGAGAGAAACTCAGCAGCTTTTCCTCTAATTCAGATAATTGTGCTGGAAATGTTCTGGAGAATATATTGGAAGTACCTTCCTTAGGAATGCAGTCAACTCAGAAATTACATGCTCTAAAACGCATGATAGATCCAGGTGCAATGGAGATGCAGCAATGACAGCAAAAGCCTGGGGAAGAAAAATTAAAAGGTGTTAACAGTTAAACGTGTAAACCAACCTAACTGATATCCCCAAAAAAAACCCTTACATAACCAACTAATAGAAAGCGTATCTCCAAAACTATATTGCAATAAAAATGTAACACCAACTCATCCCATCCCATCCCAAATATGCCTGAGTCACACAGATGGTTCTAAAGCCTTGGGTGAGTACTACTAGTTAACATGGAGCTTACACGTTTTGCTAGTTTCCCACTATGTTTCCATAGCTTTGACAAGGTCCTTAAAAGGAGCTATAATCAAGTTGGTAGTCTAGATTTGTGGTGTGTCATGAATTGTATATAATACAGGACTTCAGTGAGGATCTCCGATACGCATGAGGTACTTAAAAAAGTTACGGCTAGTAGCTACTTGTCAAAATGGATCTTAAACATTTTGAGCCAAATGGTTGGTGCCCAACTATTTTGCCAAACGATACCTGAACAGACCATGCATACATTGAAGGAAAATGGAAAGGGAAGAAGTCAATTAATTTCTTTATCACATCATCCTACTCAGATAAAACTCAATGACAGCAATTCATCTCAAAAAGTCATTTCACACTCCCTAGGAACTACATGAATATTATTTTAACTGCAGCTTGATTCAACATCAAGTTCTCTCCAATCTGTTGCAAATTAAATTAGCCTCTATTAATCAATTACCCAAGTCCTTCCACATTTGTCAACTTTTTAATTTTAATATCTTCGAAAGTATTAATATAAAAAAACCAGGGCTTGCAAGCCATGCCCTGGCTCATGCCCTGACCTGAGGGAAGTGAAATGGACTAATGCCGTTGCCTTCTAAAACACTGATAGTAAGAAATTCATCCATAGTAGTTTCTCCATCATAAATAATTCATGTTTAACTTCCCCATGTTGATATCTGGCTTTAGCCCCACTAAAGCACATTAGAAAAATCCACCTCAAAGAGGGGGCATGCTAATGGAACCATGAATCCACAGACAAAGGACAGCCCAGAGGGCTTTGAATTCAAACAAACCTTCACGGCTGTAAGTCGAGTTATCTCATTTCCCATTCTATCTACTAACACTGGAAGGCATGCAGGTAAATCCCCACCAAGTTGATCGCCAAATGAAGAAACAACAAGCCCCATGCAAGAAATGGCACATTCTTTAACCTCCTGCAAAAGGAAAACAATTAGCCAAATATGATGCCCAGAAAATAAATTCGACTGCAAAGATAGGCACTAACCTGATCTTGATCTTGATTTGTCAAGCGTGCCATGATGGCATTATATATTGGTTGGACAAATGATTTGAAATCAAAACCATAACCCTGAACGACAAAAACAATTAACGTTTTGGGAAGGAAACAGAAATCGTCAAAGAATCCATATAAAATGAAGACAGTAAAAGCAACCGACCTCAATATTTGGTCGCAGAACGCGTACTAGTTCTCCACATACTCTTAATGCCTCTGCTGTAACTTTGTAATAGCGTTCACCAACAGCAGATATAACGGGAGCAGAAATGGCCTATGAACACACCATTGTTAGAGAACCAACCCTCTTGCACAGCTTGCTAACTTTTGGAAATAATAATTCACTGATATTATCTATCCAATAATAAAAGTAACAACACAATATTATACATTTCCTAGAAAACCACAGAAGCAGAAGAATGCTTCTAACACTAGCAACAATGTTAGGGTTGTATCTCCAAACCATTATGCTCTGAATTCAAATTTAAATGCATTGTTTGACGTTTAAGCTTAAAAAGAAAAAAGAAACCCTCAGATTAACAAGTCCGAAGAATAACAATAATCATCATTCAAAGCACTCCATGAGAACTCTACAACACGATCTTGAATTGTACCAAATGAGTTGTAGCTTGGTTCATGGGAAAACGCAGCATAGAGGAGGAGAAATCAATATTGTAAGTATGTGCTTGGGAAGGCTTTTTTGGGAGCTCTAAAGCACATTTAGAAGACCAAAAATACTTCGGTATAAAACCCGGCTGTTTAGTTGCAGTCAAAGAAGTGCTCATTGACCAAAAAAAAAAAACTTTCTTAAGTTGTTTTAGAGAAGCTCTAATTTGAAGCTTTTCTGAAAAGCTCTAAATTCAGCATTATGGGAGTTGAAATCTATATTAATTATGCTTATAATTTTATAGTAAAATATCAAAAAATATCTAATTTTACTACACATCAATTATTATATATTACTTAAATATTTTTTTTTGAATATTACTATTACATGTTTTGCTCTTAATTTTTATTTATTATATTATTTTAAATGTGCGATAATATATTTTTGAAATGAAATTATAATATAAGAAGTATGGTATTTCATATATTGGTGTGTCGTATTTTAACGTTTCAAATAAATAAATTTAAAACACGATTTATGCTAAAAAAAATTGCGCCAAGACAATTTAATTGAAATATTTAATTTATATAGATTTTGTATAATAAAAATAATATTTAGTCAAATAATTATTCAATATTTACAATTAATAAATCAAACGCACTTTTCTAGCAATGCTGCCAAACCGCTAAATTAATGTTTACGACACTTTTTTTGTTGAGAACCAAAAAGTTAAATCAACTTTTCAGTAAAAAGAGAGTTGTACTCAACATCTGTGCCAAACGGACCCTAAAAGATCTTTATATATACCCATGTTTGAGCCACATTAAAATTTTCATTCTCATTCTTCTACTTATTTTTAACCACACATCCTTCAATAAAATAATATTTTTCATCGCATCAATAACTTTTCCTTCTTTTTCAACCACACATTTTCCATCAATCTACTATTCCAAAATATATTCTTCCAAAATAATGTGGCTCAAACACAACCATAGTTGACTTTTAGGTTTTGATTAACTGATTGTGCCAGTAGTGATGGCCGCTGAGGAGATTGTGGTGCGTAACAATGGATCTCATAGTTGTGATCACACGGTGGTAATGACCGGTAGCAGTGGGTGAGGATATGGTTGGGATTGGTGGAGTTTGGAATACTGATGACAGTGATTGAGCCAACCTCACTCGCCATACAAGTTCATCCAGATTTTCTATTAGTGCAACAACCCTCATGACCACACTTCAAAAGGTCTAATGATGAGTTTGCTTATGAGTTCATATATAGAGATTTCCATATTTCAACAAAATTAGTGATGATTAGATAATTGAAGCTCTACGGAAGGGAAACTGATAGGTGTCCATCCACTGACATCACGAAAAATGACCTAGATGCTGCAAAATCTACTCCTATGAAGCTGCTTAGCTTCTTCTTCCTCCTCCTTTTCCCAAAGCATTTTGTATGCATACAATTATGATCAGAAGTAATACTATTTAGATCTTCATATTTTGACACCTCATAAACAGATTTTCAAGGAAAACTATCCATTCTATAACAATGACTTGTATGTTCATCATCAGATAATGGACTTACGAAACTCCCATAACATGAAAAATTACTAATTTTACAAGCACCCATATTACATCATTCTACAAATGACTTGCCAAATTTTCAGATTTGTAAAAGTAACAACAGTAACTTTCGCAATTAACATGATTCAAGATTTTCAGAAAACTTTCGTGTTCCACTGATTTCAAGAAAGTCATCACATTCTTAGTTTCTATGGCAAAGCGACCAATTACATCACACATTACCTTAATGTAGGGATGGAAAACAGAAGGGGCATGTGAGGCCAACACTAATCTTGTGAAAACAAGAGCTTCAATCTTCAAATTTGAGGTAGATGATTTGTCCTGTTAACAGAAGAAAGAACTCACAAGATCTTTGGCGACAAATAGAAAAACTTACAAAACTCCAAAGGAGCACTAGTCAAAGGGGGCAAAAACTTACACATAATGCTTTCTCGATTCCAGGAGTAAGAGATCCAATATGGTCTGCAAGGCAATCAGGCAGCACAACTACCAGTTCTTTCAAGACCGAGAAGGCACCAACCTGTAGGCATAAACAGTGTGATCAGATGTAGAAGCTCTAAGTTGATCACCAAAAGATCATACTAGGTAGAATTCCACCTTCGTTTTGACAGATTTCTCACGTAGTTGTTTGTTTACAGATCGAACGATTTTCGAGACATCTTGCTTCAACATATATCTGGGACTGCACGACAATATCACAACATCAGAATCCAAAAGTCAATGCAGATATCAAAGTTCCAGTGAGGGAAATCCCTTCGTCTCATACCAACGAAGAGTAAAGTATTTTGAATCGTGTAAAGTATGAATTTCATCATCAGTATTAGCAAAAATATGAAGACAAGAAAAATCCATTTCTGACAAAGAGAAATCACAATTACAAAGACTAAGTCTTCATGTTTCATTATCGAAATTCGATTTTTTGATCTCTATCTTCATTTTCAGAAACAACTAAAAGTTCTTCAGTAGAACCTTTGGTGCAAAAATTTACCCAATAAGTGACAAAACAGATAAATTTAGCTAAGCTCACTCTTCTCACTCCTTATCTTCATAACCTTTCTCTTAAAGTTAGTGAACTCATGACTTGTAGGTTGGGAGAGTACAATGACACCACAGTATGTAGATCTAAAGCATGCATCTTATTAAAGAATATATTATGTTAATCAGGGGCGAAGGATACTAAAATCTTTTTTTTTTCTAGATGAAAAAAGTATACTTCGTTTAAAGCATATTAAACCCACAAGCCCCAATCGCAATCAGTTTTCCAATTAACTTTAATCATTTGTTGATTTATTCTGTCCCTAGATGGGAGCTATCTCCAAATACTCATGCTGATAGCAAGATAGCAGAAAAATAATCCAAATTTCCTTCAATGATAATTTATAATGAAGCCATTGAGTAGATCTTTTATGTATTACTTGTTTAAGGGTCCTGTNTAGATCTTTTATGTATTACTTGTTTTAGGGTCCTGTTCAGCCCTGCCTTATGTAAGATGTAACAGAAAGAACACTGTATCAATAATCGAAATTAGAGACAAACAATTTAAACAAAATACAACATCTCTGTACAAGAATTTAACGAGTCAAACTGGAAGAACCATATTCTTGCCTTGATTCATCAAAATCTGTCTGTCCTTTAGTCACATTTCCTGTTTGTCGCAGTAACTCAATGAAGGTATTAAACACATCCATCTGCAGCTTAAATATTATTAGATAATCAACCAAGTGGTTGTACTATAAGGGGTTTAGTTGTGTCATTCAGCCATACCTTGACATTTTCTTCCCTTTCTTTAAACCTATCAATCAACTTCGGGCAAGCCTGAAAATGAATATATTTAAAAGCATTGTTCATCTTTCATTAAAATTTAGTCAATTGCATACAAAAGAAACCTATACTCCAACATGTCAATTTCTTATATAAGTTTCAGGGAAGACACCACATGAGTTCTGTTGCATGAGCAAGGATCATATAGTCACATAAACTTCCCAAATAGACAACTTTATAAACAAATTCATTTTTACAACAGTTTTAAATTTACCACCAAACAAGTAACTTCGACATTTTAAAAATGTTTCAGACAGTGAATCAAAAGTGTTCGAATCGCTTATATAGATAGTGCATGAGAGAAGGTACGGGCAATTTTCTTTAATAAAATAATATCAAGCATTTAGTGATACATATCTTTACGTATTAGAAATGGAAGCTTCCTTCTGGTGGGTTTAAAATGACATTTTTTAATTGATTTTCCATAGCTATTGGCATTGCTGAATTAGTTAAATGGGCCAGATATAATGAACAATCTGACCTTAAAGAGAATGTTATTGTGGTTTATGATTTAAACTAGGATCTTTTGCACTAGAAAGTAATAAGAGTTCAGTTTTATGAGGATATTACTCAAAATATAAGTAACATGAAAACAAAATCGTAAGAGTTTGACAGGGAATTAGAACTCTATGTCTAATGAAGTTTATGGACTTAATGGTCCTTAGACATGTAACTTGTACTATAATAAATTTCCATAATATCCAGTAGGCAAATGGTCCAGATTCACCAGAACCATGTTCAAAAACTTTTATACAATGGATACCTCTTCGTATAGCCTCGATAGCAACTCCGGGCGGGAAACAATCAAGGCTGCTAAGCATTTGGCAGAAGCTCTGCGGACCTTCCAGCTCGCGTCTTCGTCATCAGTATATTCATTAGCGCTCTCGCTACAAATCCATGAAGATAACACATTATCACAAATTCTTACCATAAATAACTTAGAATTGCAATTAATTGCATTACATACTCATCCTCCTCCACCACATAACTCTCATCATCTGTGTCTTCCTCCATGTTATCAGTAAAATTAGGATCATAGCTAAGATATTCCAAAGTAAGATGTAAGATGTCGTTACAATAGGAAGAAATATCCCTGGAACACCGCAGCAGAAAGCTCTCTAGAGCCTACAATAGAAAAAGATTAAATGCCTCATTTTAACATAACTTCAACAACAAAAGGATATGTAAAAAATTTATATACCTGTAAACTATATTCACGAAGCTCTTCATCATTCTCCGATGCATTTGTACAGTAGCTAATTAATATTGGAACAGTATCTCCAAGATGGGCACCGAAACGATAGCCAACAGCACGACTTACAAACCAAAGATTCATGGGTTATTCGTGGACATATCCTAACATCACTAAAGAAATCAATTTACGATTAAGTACCTCAGAGCCCCAATCATCTGAATGTTTGTGCGTGTAATTTCTGGTTTTATGGCCTTATTTCTCAAAAGCCGAACAACTTCAATTGTAGCTTTTGCCAGCAAATCATCTGACAAGCTTGAAGCAAGAGACGCTGAAGGCAGAGTGCTAAATTTAATTAGATCTAAAGGAAATATCATGGCTATGAGATCAAGATACACACAATATAGAAAGACTGATACACCATTTCAAAAGATTAGCACATTCAGTTGATATTACCTACACATGAAACGGCCTTCTTCCTGACACTGGCATGATTGGAACTCAGCTGGGGCAACAATGCACCTAATAATACCTCGTGATCTGATGCCATTAAATTTCCATATTTATGAAGAACATCACACAATATATCAAGGCATTCACACTTAATTTCAGTGGACATTCCCTGAAAAAAAAGAAAGACAAGTTGAAATAAGTAATAAACTTCGAAGAGCATAAAACAAAAATTTTGCAATTACTTATCTTGCTACCAACTCCAAAATCTTTTTATTATATTAGGAAAAAGACTTGTTTGGTTTAGATAAAAATTAGATTTTTAGTAGATTTTGATCAAAGTTGATGAAATGTGTGGTTGAAAAGTTGATAATAGTTGTGGATCCCACGAAATGTGTGGTTGAAATTGAATTTAAGGAAAGATGAGTTTTAAAAAAGGGGGCTGAACAGGAGCTTAGTCTATTGTTGTAGTAACTATTTATTGCCACGCTGATGCTCGTATTACAAATATGAACACAGTGGCATTCCTGATTTATATTAGCCGGACCTAGGGACAGACAATCTTTGAATTCTATAATAGACCATTTCTTTTCTGAACATACTAAAGCATCATGATAGAGCAGGTATTTCTTGTGAAATGAAGAAAGTCTCGATAAATGCTTATTTCACATCCAATAAATAAGAGAGAAAGAAGTTTCCAAGGATGTTAAAAATAAAATGCAAGCTCATTGCAAATAGTGTCTATTCAACTTTAAAGCCAATCAGGAAAGCAAGAGTTTCTAATAAAGAGCCCCCTCGCTAACATCATAGGAGCAATTTGAAATCATATGTCACAAAGCGAACAAAGTCAGAATGTGTTGGCATCGTGTACCTCTGGGAGTTAACAAATTATTATTGCGCTTCATTCATGTTTAACACAACGTCATTTACCCATGCATCCCTAGTTTGTGAAAGAGATCAATTGCTCTTGTATTTAAAGATGCATTACCATATGATTAGCAGATGACATCTTTACAGATTTTTAAAAACCAACACTTACAAATGCATTGAGTGCAACACTTCAATTTGAAGAACGTAAGTTTACTTAGAAAGATTTAACAATTAACCAACAATCTTTGGAAGCCAACAAATCAGCATCATCTATCTAATACAGTAAAAAATATTATGTGGCCATTCTCCCTTTCAAAGAAACATGGAGATAACATCACTCCTGTGGAATCACAAACCATCTACCATGTGCTAACGTTAAACAAGAATTCAGTTGTAAAAGAACCATCATTAGAGAATTCTACAACCCTAGGACATGAAACCAATGATGCTAAATAGTATATAGCAACTCACCTGGGAAGTTATTCCTCTTATCAACTTTGGAGATATGGATACAAGTATGGATTGTGCGATGGATGAGGTAGGAACTTCAGAAACAATCGTCTTCAAAGCAATACTTGAAATGTCACGATGTTGTTCTTTCCCATTCAGTAATTTATCACAAAGCTTATTAGCCATCTCAAGAATCTGCTGCTCATGAATTTTCTTCACCAATGGAGCAAGACTAAATATCACATAAAAGCAAAATAAAAAAAATAATAATAAAAATGCAGTTGATGATATAAAATCTTCCAGAGTCATACTTTAGCTATGTGCAACAATAAAATCCCAAATCAAAGCAATAAATCAACCATTATCCAAATAACAAGAAGATAATATTTTCTAAATTTTTTGCCAATGTAAATAGACTCCTTGAACACGATTTATAAGCTTTTTAAATCACAAATTGGCTCACAACCACTTATTTTCTTCAAATAAGTTCTATTGAAGGACTAAGCAACATTTGAATTTCAGGGTCGAGTGACGCAACTAATCAGCATGGAAAATAAATTTACATATAACACGTTAAATTCCACAAAAATTAAAAGAAATGGAAGCTTCATTTCATGTTACCAAAAAAAAAAAAAAGTAGATTCATATAAAAACCCAATTGAAACCCACCTAAGACCCGCCTAAAAGTAAGCGAGCAAAGAATGCCTCAAGGCACTGATTGTGGCAATTTTAGAAGGCATACACCTCAATTGTGTGAGGCACACACCTCACAGCACCGCTTCAAGGCTTGTTGGTGTCCAAACTCACAAAACCAGCTCTGACTCAAGTTAAGACGAATAGTTTATGAAGATTGAATAGTCACTTCAAAAAGGACAAACTAAGAGATCACAAGGTCAGCTCGACTCATGCCTGTTGTCATCCAGAAACATCATCATTGTAATCCTGAACGATGTCATCACCACTCGGACGACCACTCCAAAAGTGAAAAGTGATACCCGTGACATCAAACCTTATTTTCAGCCAATCAAAAATCAACAATGATTACCTAGGTGACATGTAATCATGACCTAGGCCACAACTACGACCTAGGCACCATTATGACCCGTTCGGCCAACCTCAACGACCAATCAGCAGTCTTAAATTCGGGCGGCCAAGTTGCTTGATTTAGAGGCATATAAATAGGGGCAAATGGTCCCCTGCAAAGGGCCTAACTCAATGTATTCTCTCCAATACAATCTAAACTTCAATCAATGAAATTATCCTTTAATTTTCCTAAATTCAAGCAATTCTAGCAAGCACTCTACTAAATTTCTATTAAGTTGGTCTAAATTTGCCATGTCATTTTTAGTCATCAACAAGACTTGTGGCCACAAAACATAAAACTTTTCATTGGCCCATTTTGAGAATAGCCTACATTGCCAACTAAAACATTAGAAATTTGTGTCTCTCATAAAACCATTTTGGAAATAGTCCATTGCCACACGAACTAAAATAATAGTTTCTATATACTGTTGAATTTTGTTTATGATGGAAAAATACCCATGTACCTGATTGCGCCTTTTTCAACATTATTCTAAATCTGAAGATTCCAATACTAGGACTTAATGCTCAAAAGTACAATCTTATATTTCAAATAAGATGAAATATAAATATAGGCAACATAATTGTAAAATCATGAAATACAATTGGTGAACATAAAATGTTAGCATGAATAAAATACCTGTTTGCACAAGGGGGATAAAAGAAAAGATCCCAACAACTCATCCTAAAGGAAGGGATAGGTGCAAAGCAGGAAAAAACAAATTAAATAGGAAAATAATGACGAATATTAGATCTCAGAATACGGAACTTCATCAATCAGTAACATAATTCAAGGAAAATAAAGAAGAAAAATCAATCTTGTGTCAAAATAAAATAAGAGATATGAATATCACTAGCATTTATCTTTGTAAATAAAGAAATCCAGTACAGACCACTTTACAGCTAATCCAGAAACATCGCCTGCAGCATCATCAAGTTGCTGGATAACAACATTAGACAACTTTACTTCGAGGTCAACATCGAGTTTGAATCCCTCTTTGTTTAATTCATTAAGCAAATCAGAAGTTGCCATGTATCTATAATCCTTGTCTTTCCCCGTCATCTGCATTGCATACACAAGTTAATTGAGAATCGCAAGTCTGTTAAAGGGAAAAATAACTCAGAATATGCAGCACCGATAGCTACCTTTTCAAGTATGCCTGTTAAGGTTAAGTTCGCCATCTATGCGGAACTCTTAAGAGGATCTTTCAGCTTAGAGTATACCAGCAGAAGGAAACAGTTTCGCTACCAAAGGAAGAACAAAGTATATGGTAGCATATCAATTAACAATTAAGTAATGATTCTGATAAAGTAGAACACCCACAGAATTAATTTAATACTAAGGGGAAAGAGAATCAATCAGAACTGAAGTTGTTACCCCGTTGCACAACAAAATGAAATAATGAAATAAGTTCAACATGGGACAAAGTGAATTTACTAACAGATACAAGGAAACAAAAGTAAACTATTACACACTTGGCAAAAAGATGGGGGGAAAAAAGCAAAAGCTAACATTAAGGGCTAGGAATTTAATATCAAAGCCTTTTAAATAAATATATTACAACACAGCCAAGTTGATTCTTGGTTCAGGGGCAGAAATTTGAAATTTAAAGTTGAAATTAAAGAAAATAAACTCAAATACAGTGCCTGCTTCTGGAGCCTTCCAAGCAAGCCATGAAGAATCCAAATCTAACATGTTGCCAAGATAAAGGATTCTAGAAAGTGTAGAAATCACAAAATATGGCTATTTAAACATAAAAGGTAAAGATATTAACTGAAAAATTAAAAACAATTCTATAAATCGCGAATAGCAGTGCATTAAAAAATGAAGTAGTAATTCCAAATCAAGAAAAGAAAGTCAACGTGCCAATTTACACATAATTGAAAAGAAAAAAAGCAAGATAAAATCATTTTGGGCATCATATATGCATGCCATCCATTTCCAAATCAATGGCACAAACTACAAAAGAAAAAATTGCCAAATCTATATATCATGAAATACGAAATCACGCACAGTAAACAAGAAAAAGAAGATGCATATAGAAAGGCATATAAAAACTGGGATTTCAAGAACGCCCCGAGTATACATGCTAATAAAAAACTGTAAATAACATTGTACCAAAAGAAAACAGTAACTGATTACCTACAGATTACCCGAAAAATTCTATACACCTGTATATCCTCAATGCAATTGTTAATTTTCACAGCGTAAACTGAAGTAGGGAGTAGGGAGAGAGCTTACTTTTGGGTATCAATACTATAGCATAGAATCGCTTAGCATGAGAGATTGCGTATGCGGATTTATTATGTATTATACAATTAAACAAGCGATTGTTTTGTGCTTTTTGCTTAGCTTAAACCCTAAGGACAGTAAGAGAGTGGAGTGTCTATGTAAGAAAGGGGTGGGGCGATAATTTTTTGCTAATTCCACACCTCCTTATAGAGAAGGGGGAAGAGCTCATTTGGGCCGAAAATTTTGGGCCCTCAGCCTATACGTATCCCTCAGTTGCTTGCCCACTCAAACTCACTCGGATGGTCGATTTTGGGTTGGCCTGTTCAAGTTTATTTTGGTCCCAAAACAATAGTAATTTGTGGAAATTACATGGATCCATACTTTTCAAGATCCAAGTTCAAAAATCAGATATCAAGTTTTAATGTTCAAAAATCAAATATTTTATATATAGATACAAGTTTTTT